CTCTTTCTCTCATTTCTCTCTGTTCCCTCTCCCTCCTTTTTCTCTCCTCTTGTTCTCTCATTTCCCTTTCTTCTCTCTCTTTCCTTTCTCTTGCCTCTCTTCGCCTCTTTTCTCTTGTATCCCTATGTCTTTGTGCCGCCTCTCTCTGCTTTTTTGTTCGTTCTTCTCGCTCTTTAAGAATTCTATCGATTTCAGCCACTTGTTGTTCTAGAGAAACCAGTGAAGGGTCCCTAAGAGATAATGAAGCAAATGAACCCTCCTGTTGATTATTGAATAGGCCATGGCTCCTCAAGCTTTCCTCTCGTCTCTCTGCATAAACCATTTCGGATGAAGTCAAACCACTATTTGCCTGGGTATCTCTCTTTGCTTGGGTATCTTCATAGGAGGACCTGTACCTGTTGAAGTCCCCTACGCGTTCTTGTTCATAGCTGCTTAACACATCATAAGTGGAAGTAACTGAGGCTGCACTTCCTGAAGTCGTGCTTGAAGAGAATTGCCAAGTGGTAGTCGGAAAATTTGGTGCGGTAACGGCTGGATATCTCACGGCGGGCGCCAATGGTCTGACTCCAAGTGAAGGTGATGCTGTCTGAGTCTCATTTCCTGCAGAAAAGTCTTCAAAACTTGAAAAGCTCGTTTGATGTTTGATACTTGGCAAGTTTTCATTCCAGTGAAGCGAGTAAACGCCTCGGCTGAAGCCACCAGTACTGGGGAGCTGCCCCCTCATTTGTGTCACAGGCTGGTAGTTCTCTGGCATTGGATCTCTGTACCGTGGACTCGCCGCCCTGAAATATACATTCTCTGGCATCAACCCGCCTCTTTCTGGAGCCGGTGAGCGGGGGAGGCCCCAAAGTGAGGAGGAGCTGCTATTACTGCTTATAGAGTGAGTCCAATCGTCTGAGTGCTTATCGCTGGCTCGCATGTCATAACTTTCTACAAACGAGCTCTGTGGAAGACTCGGATCTGTTGAGTGCCGGGCGATAAAGTTTTGATTAATACCAGTTGTCTCCAAGGATGGTATCTTCCCATCATGGTTGTTTGTTTCAAATGTGTTAAAAATCATTGGATTCTGCAGAAGTATCTTTGGTCTTGCTCCTTCACTTGTAGCTTCACCATCTCTTTCCGCTGAAAGCTCGGCATTGTTTCCAACTTCAAAGCTGTTAGTCTTTTGCAGTTCTTTAGCTTTCTTCTTGTCATTTCTGGTGTTGGAATTTCCACAAGAACTATCATTATTGCTGTTGATACTATTGCTGTTGGCTAGGAATCCATCATTGTTCTCAGCACTAGAGTTGCCCGTGTCTTCATCAATGCTGCACTGTGAGTCAAATCGCAAGCTGGCGTTTAACTCTTCAGTTAGAGACTCATCAGTTTCATCTGACTCCACAAATGTTTCGTCTTCTTTTGGATATATAGTGGATTGAATTGTGCAACTTTTAGCAGAAACGCCATTGTTACTGGCAAAGTTTTTTCCACCATCGTAACTATTGCTCCCCTTATGATTATTAAGATATTCAGTTTCACAGTTTTCATCACACTTCTCATCATTGTCATCGTCATTAGCTCCGTCATCATCTTTGTTCTCACTGCCTTCCTCGCTATTTCTAATAACATCATAATCATCATTAATATCATCGTCACCACCACCACGATCGTCATCGTCATTAGAACTGCTCGTGTTATTATTGGCTGCTTCATCTCCCTGTTTGTCTTCTTCTTCAGAGTTACTGTCTTGGCTAACGATGTCTTGGTGATATGCATACCCATCAAGACGAGAACGGACTCTCATGCCGTCCTCCCCTCTACTTCGATGATCCAGGGGTATTTTCGAGTATTTCGAGCTCAGTCGGGGGCTAGACTGGATCGGTTCTTC